AAACCTAGGTGGTGAATGGGCTGTAGCGTACGCGGATGACGCTATGATTCTAGTATGTGCTCGATCCAGAGCAGAAATAGAAAAAAAGGCAACCAACATCCTAGCTAAGGTGGTGGAGTGGGGTACAAACAACAAGTTGGATTTTAACCCCAAAAAGACTAAAGGTATTATCTTTACAAAACCAAGGGCTCCACACCTATACAGAAGGACACCTATGATCCATATGGGAAACACTAGTGTACAGATTGTACCTACACTAAAATACTTGGGCCTGATTCTACATCACAAGCTCAGCTGGATACCTCACATACAGTACATCTGTGATAGGACAAACCTACTTTTTAATACCATGTCAAGAGTAGCAAAAAGTAAATGGGGGCTTTGCTCAAAAATAATGAGCATAATATATGATTCGGTATTTATACCAATGATTAGTTACGCTGCTCCAGTCTGGTCTGACTGCCTCGGAATGGTGCATATTGATAGAAAACTACAAAGTGCACAACGAAGAGCACTTATTCGTATCTGTAGGGCTTACTCTACAGCTCCCACAAAAGCGTTACAACTTTTGGCTGGAAAACTGCCCATCCAGCTTACCATCAGTTTAATCACACAAAGGTGGCTCATCCGAGACGATCAAATCAACTCGATCAATGGAATACCTTATGATAACATTGAACGCACTAAAAAGGGTGTCCCCAGCATTAACCCAGCTTACTGGCCTGACATCGCTGATCAACCCTGGCCCATACAACATCTCACCATATTTACAGATGGCTCAAAGAATAATACGGCTGTTGGATGTGCCTTTGTAGTGTATGCTAATAATGAAGAAACATTCACATACAAAACAAGACTTGGGGGAACCTGTTCCGTTTTTCAAGCAGAACTCTGGGCCATTCTTTCGGCCATTAGATGGTGCGACTCCATATATAATAGAACAGAAATAACTATCTTTACAGACTCCTACTCGTCTACGCAAGCCATTCACAACCTCCAGTGGCGTTCACCTATAGTCCACGATATCTTGCTGGAATTGGCCAAAGATATCAACAGGTATGCCATCGTTTGGGTCAGGGGTCATGCTGGTGTTTCTGGAAACGAGCGGGCTGACCAACTTGCCCGCATGGCTTCTGAACTAGAAAGTGAACCAAGCTATAATGCCACTCCCCAATGTCACATCTTAAGACAAACAAAAGAAAATGCATTTGCTATCTGGCAAAGACAATGGGAGGAGCATAGCGAATGTCTTACAAAGGAGTTTTTTCCCAAGGTTTCAGATTCTACTCTTCCAATCATTGACCAAAAATTGGTCCAATTCTATACTGGACATGGGAAGTTCAACCAATATCTTCACAGGTTTGGCAAATCGGAAAACTCACTGTGCGAAATTTGTAACGAAACAGATGGAGTAAAACACTATCTATTTAAATGCCCTATGTTGGACGATAAGCGTTTTACCATCACCACTCTACTTCCGCGAGAAGAAAATTGGCCTTGCAGCCTTGACATACTTGTCAAAGACAAAAACTGTTTTGTGGCATTTAAAGAACTAGTATATACTTATTTCAACAGAACTACCGTTAATTAGGTCAATTTGTCTCAATGGACTGATGTTTTCTCGAATGTGTTTATCATTGATATAATATTTTGTATTATAATATTCTATGTTCATTTGTTAATAATACTCGATGTATGTTACCACGTATTTATGTAATCAACTCCTATGCAAATTTTTATGTAAGTATTTGGCTACTCTGCAGTCAATAATTTGCCAAGTACATTAACTGAACTCTAAAACATATAGTTGTAATCTAACATATTCTTGTTATGTAACCTGTTTTACATGTAATATGCTTGTAAACATTCTGCTCCTAACCTCGGTGGTGCTTTGCGGAGCCGAGGCCGTCTTCGGAAATAAAGATTTATACAAAGTGAAGTGGTGAAAGTGCTGAGCTGTTCCGCGACGAATACAAGCTTGAGCAATGGCCATGTCGAATGGTGCACACTCGGTAAGTAATCCTACAATTTTTTGTTTATAGCGTAGTTTATACGGATTATTTCCAAAAAAATATACGTATTTTGGAAATGTTGAGTCAGATTAGTCTAGAATCGATTAATTTTATGAAAGAAAACCTTTCAATCAGCCTTAGTCCGTAAACTTCACATGTGTCAGGCTGTGATTGGAAGGACTCGTAAGAAATCGGCTTCCTAAAGAATGGAACGTATCTATGATCTTATAGGGGGGTCGACTGTATTTGTCGTTGTTTTTTTGTATTTAATTTTTGTCATATGTTTGTTATTTGTCATGTTTGAAATATTTCACTATTTACCCTAGCGCAGTTTAGCCTATATGGCCCTTGCGCCAAAAAACCAAAACCAACCAACCTATTATTATTTTTTATTTTGATGTTTTTGGGTCAAGGAGATCTCAAAGCGTTGAGATTTGCAGACTTCGTAGAGTCAAATTTGGCATTATTTCAATACTTTCTCTTGTTTGTCTTTTCTGGCTGTTATGTACTGTACACATATACATAACAGCCAGAAAAGTAAAAGTAAATAAAATAATTTCTAGGCAGATGATAAAACTAATTTAAATAGAATAGTTACTGATAGAAAACGTGTTAACATTAAAATTAGAATAGGGTCAATTTACCTGAACTGCATTTTTTTTTTCTAGTAGGCCTACAATGTACAAGTACGACTCTTACAATGTACAAGTTCGAACTTCGAAAATCGAAGTTCGAACGATGCTTCTACGTTCGAACTAGAGCATTCAGTGAAAAAATGCGCTCGCTTCGTAAAAGCCATTTGATATGCGCCCAAATCCTCACTCGCTCTCGCTGTGAAAGCATCTCTTGCCTTACACTTATGTGTTTTCAGTACTTTTTTCTCTTTATGTTTGGTTTGTTTGTATATAATTCTTACTATTAACCATGGCATCCAAGAAATCTGTAGAAGCAATAAAGCTTAAGAAGAATTTGTAGTATTGACGATTGAGGTGAAAAAGGAACTTACAGCGAAGCATGACAGCGGTACACGTGTTACCCACGGTTAGGCGCGCGGGGGAATATAGGACCCCGGCATGTTAAAACGCGTGTATTTTTTAATGTTTTTAATGTTGAAAAATGATGCCCTCAGTACCTTCCTTCGATGTAGTGAAGATCGCACCGAAAAAATTTTAAAATTCTACGAAAAAAAATTTTGACACAAAGCCACAGATCTAACGACCATTTTCAAGATGCCGAAGTCGACGGTGTGCACCATTTTAAAGAATAGAGAGCAATCAAAGCAGAAAATATGGTTAATTAAAGAAGTGATAACGTTGACCTTCAGGAGATCGCAAGTTATTGAGGGGATGGAAAAACAAAACTCCTAGTATGGATAAATGAAAAGCAATTGGCTGGTGATATCATCTCCGATAGGATTATTTGTGAGAAAGCCAAGTAGCTGTGTAATGACCTGAAGAAACGAAACATCACCCTCTTCACACTAATAGAGTAAATGCAATTTTCATTTTATTACACAGTATATACGTATTTTATTTATTGTTTTCATATTTTCACTTATTATTTAGGGCATTTAATTGTGTAATTTTTAACCTTAAATTACCTGTACTTGCTGTTTAAATTTTTCGAAATGGGTATTGTTTATGCCCGTAAAAACGAATTCACTCCCATTATTTTTAATGTGGAAAGAATTGATTCGGACTTCGAACAATTCAGAGTTCAAACAACTTCCTGAAACGAATTAAATTCGAAGTACGAGGTACCACTGAGGCCGTCGGCCATAGTTTTATATATATTTTTGTTAATTTTAGTTAGGCTTAAGTATCTCCTCTGTTCTTTTGTCTTAACTGTTCTAGAACTTTCTCCCTTAATCCCTATTCCCTCGGGTGACATCACCGATTCTGTGAAACAATGTCAAGAAGACAAAAGGAGCAATAACCCCCTGGAGAGGAGGCGAGGTGAAAGAAAGGAGAAGTGGCTGCGATTTCGTCGAGAGAGGACGAAAACGAGTGTGGTCCTGACCGAGGGGTCGAGCAAGAAGTAAGAAACCTTGCGATAGAAAACCGAAGGAGGATCATACCCTGATCGCATAGTGAGAGATCAGAGGTATCGGAACCTTGTAAGACGGCTGAATTATAGAGGAACGTAGGGCAATTGCTAAAGAAATCGAGTTCCCCCATGTTCAAGTAACGGCAAGCGGGAAGACCACAAGACAACTTCAGAAAACGTAGACGTTCATAAGAGGAAAGAAAATAAGGTCTGCAGTCATTAAGAATTTCAAGACGGTGAATCATCCGAGACCACGTGGCAGAAAACTCCCGGGTATTTTCTCCTTTATTCTACTACTATCCCTATCTATATTTTATTTCTCCTTCCTTAGTTTGTAAGTAGGTTAAGTTTAGCTATAAGTCGTGTGTCGGTTGCCACAATAGAGGCTTGTTTGTGTAGACGATTATTGTATGTATACGAACCCAATAGTCTGTAAGTTGGAATCATTTTAAAGAACCTGTGTTTGATGAATAAAAAAAATTTTGTATTTTTACTCGTTTTATATGTTTCCTGTCTGCAATAATATATTGCCCTCAAATGAAACTTCACACCACTATAGTTCGTTTACTACATACAGTATCTGATTTTATGAGTGTTCATGATTTGGTATTTTTACTAAACAGTAAAAAATCGTATCTTATTAGTCGATTCCTTTAAGTAATTAAGGTTAATTAGTCTTCTCTTAAAGGGTCTAGTTTGCAAGTAAGGAGTGCTAAGCAGCCATTATGCTAATACAGAATATATACTGTATATATATATATATATTATTACACATTATTAAAAAACAATGTTAAAGAACAGATTTTTATCTGTGATGAATTATTCTATATTTATAAAATATGAATGCATATTCATTTTATTTGGTTTCAAATAAAAAAAATAAAATAAAAATGTATCAGAATGTAATCGATTTTCGACGTTTTCGCAAGGAATTATGGGACAGCTTGGTACGTGACGTCATCGGCGAAGAGACCTGAGTAGCGCAAGGGAATGAAACTTTATTTTGGATAATTAAAAATTGTTTTGATCGGAATTACATCATTTCCGTAACTTTTCTGCTTTAATTATTACAGGTAACGTTAGCTTTGAGACACTGCTTTATTCAATAATGTGTTAGGCCTTTTCGAAATATTTGTAAACAAACATTTAGGCCTAAACATAAATCTAAAAGAATACACTTGAAGATTTTGCTTATTCTTCCTGTGTTTTTTTTTCTTTTTATTAAATGTAACAAACTGCAACAGTCTTTTGCCCCCTAACTACATTCTGGTATACATTCTGAAATGTTTAATTATTAGCTATATGAGCAAAGATTTAGAATATTAAATACATTTTGAGACTCAGTTAATGAGGACAGAAATCTTCAGAAGTTCTAATAATTGATCACAATGGAATTACACAATAATAGGCCTACATATTAATCTATAACTGTATTCACTGGAAGTCCTAAAGTGCTTTGATATTAATCAAATGTCTTAAAGTCCATCTGCAAAATTTTTAATATAAAATAAATTTACTTGTGAATCTTAAATTTAAAATTTTGATTACAGTTGAAATAATGAAGAAATAAAAATAATTACATAATTCTTTTAGTTTAAATATTTAAAGAAATGGTCTGAGAGGACTGATAATTAATATTAATATTTAAATAAATATTAATATTATTTTGAATATGAATTAAACATATTTTTGTTTAATTCATAAATTTTGGAAAGAATTTTATACCTTATATATATATGCATTATCTAAATTACAATATCATAATTCGTACAATTTAGCTGGAATTGTCATCTAATAAGACTTGTGTTTAGAAAATGGATAAAAACGTGTTAAAGGATAAACTATTGAAGCTTTTTATTACAAAATTATAGCTATGCTTCTATTGATACATAAGTAGCCATATCTAAAAATATCAGAAATTTAAAAAATTAAGTAAGTGAATTTTAAGCTTTCATTATCAGTTTTAGGAGAAATTTAACTTTATGAAGTTTACAATATAATAATAACCTACAAATTTTTGGAAACATTTTAATAATGATTTTTATAATCATCTTTTTAGAGCAAAGAATAATTTTATCATTGTATATATTTAAATGCTTTTAAGAAGAATTCAATTTTCAAAAAATTTAATTTTAAATAAAATAATGGCTTGGATTACTTTGGAATTATTTTTGTTAAAAATGGATAAAGCTGTATCAAAACCTACTGTAAAAAATATTCTTTTGTCTCTATAAGTGCTCGTTTAAAATGTGTTGAAATTTCTTAAGATTATTTCCTGAAAATTGGTTTTAAATTGGAAAAAAACGAAAATTAGAATTTTGTAGAATTATATTGTTTCATTATTAAATACATTTAGAATAGTTGCATGTAAGTTATAAAAAGCTGATTTCAAATGAATAGATTACTACTATATTTTTCTCAGATGACTAATTAAAATCTTTTCCTGTAACTATAATTTTTTATGTTTAGATTGTGTTAAATAGTTTTCTAGATATACATAATTGTGTAAGTTAACTTCATTTCTAACCTACCAACTAGTTTCAAATACAGCAGTAAAATATTTCATTTAATGTTTCCTTTATAAAGATCCAAATTATATGACTGTAAGAATTATAAAGATTATATTACAAATTTTATAATTAAAGATTATATGAAAATATATTTTTTAACAGGACTATAAACATAATGATTTAGCAGATTAAACTTTAATGTAACATTAATTATGGACTTTCATAATGTGTAGATAAGAGTTTTAAATAACTTAGAAATGAATGGTTTTCTTTTTGAGTTTCTTATATGAAATATTTTTCATTTAAAACTTAGTGTACATATGGTCTACCGTTCTGGAGAATCCGGGCGGTCGAGAAACCACAGGATTTTCGGGAATGATCTGTTCCATTGGATTGGATATGTCGGGTCCCGTTTCTCATAACTTGGACACTCCATAATGGGCCTAAAATAAGGTCCTTTTAGCGCTTACAGGTGTGAGAAACCTACAATGAAAGGGCCTACCGACCCTAACCGATCGCTCCCATTGTACGCCTGGCAGAAACCATGACAGGTATGGAAAAATGGTTCTCGGAATGCTCACAAGAAGAAAAGGTTAAAAATAAAAAAGGCATGATTCTTTATCCTCCTTCTTTTTTTGACGTTGTAACATTGAACCAAATTCCGTATTTTCTTCTTCAATTCTTATATTGAGCAATGATTTCTTAATCACTTGTGTTTTCTAAAATGACTCATATACAATATTTTATCCTTTATTTCTCAAACCAGACCTATTTTAAAATTTAAAACCATTGTTAATAATATTTTTGGTTCGTAGAGTTCTTCCATAAAATGTTTTTATTGTTAGTGTAATCTGCTTCAACATGACTTGTGAGTAGCAGTAAATCAAAAATATATTTAAAAATTTTATTTTACTATGCAAAATCACAACATACATTGACTTAATATTGGTAATATTAACCATACTGTTCGACATAATTCTATATAACAACTTTCAATGAAAAATCTATATCGAATCGATAAATATAAATAAACATTCGGTCGACACAATAGCACCAAAAACAGTACACAAACTTATTTGAATAAATCTGGAAAACTCCACGTGGCCAGCCCGTTAGTGAGGCGCGAACCCACGACCAACTATCAGTGTTCAGTTGTTTTATACATTTTGGCATGGGCACAATATTAAAGTAATTTCTTATGATGGATTAATAATGGTAGATTGTCCTCTGTGCAGTTCTCCATCACGTCCAAGAATTTACAACTCAATTATGGAGCTCTCAAAAAAGTACTGTACAGTCCTACCGTCTCTGCAGCAGTGACTGCATATCTTTATATAACTGTTAACATTTTTGAAGCGCTTCCTATAAGTTATAAATCACATTTAATGCATTATTTTTAACAAAAATAAAAATTAAATCAAAGAATAATTTCCTTGTTTACGGTTAAAAATAATGGTAATAATTGATTTTTACTTTTTGCCTATTGACTTAGTGTAATTTATCAAAGCAATTATTTCCTTATACCATTAATAAACAAATCTATGCAGGGTATTATTAACTTTCCTCGATAATATTAATTGTATTTTTGACTTTAATGTTTTCGATTCTTGCGCTTAATAAAAGAAAAAACAAGAAATTTTTTTTCTTAACTTGCTCGACCTAAACTAGTTCTTATGTGGATGTTTTCTTTTTCTTTTTATTCCTTTTTTTGGACTAGACAAACAGACTTCCTAAGCAGTTTATAATTGCGCATTAGAAGATAATATTATCAATATAAATTTCTTGAGGTCAATTTTTCATCACTGTCAGAAATATATACATTAAATTCTGTATTTTTTATATTTATTTAATTAAAATTGTATATAAACNAATATATAATTATATATACAGTACCTAATTTATATATAATTAATATATAATTATATGTACAGTACCTAATTTATATATAATTTATATAATACTGTCCAGACGATAGAAATCTCTCCGTAGCGTGGCGCTACGGATGGCGGGAAAGTAGTTCGGCTGCCCGATGACATTTGAGGTGTTTATAGGGAACTTTTACTATTTTTTACGGATACCAGTAGCAATTTTTTTGTAGTTTTATAGGAATCGTAATTATAGGGGGGTCGACTGTAAATGCTAATTGGTTCTGACTGTTGATCCTGAGTTTTGTATACAGGTATTAAAGAATTTTAAAACTTAAATTGATGGAATTAGATTTACAGATGCAAAGTAATAATTCCTTATACTGATGAACAGTTCTTAGCTTAAAAAGCAGAGAACTTTACATGTTAAGAATGTTGGAGAAATAAATTTGGCCTTTATGCAGATGCATCATTAAAATAAGAAAAATATAGAGCATACTAACATGATAAGAAGAATATATTTTAACCAAAGTTAATGGAAAACTAATGCCCAATGGTTATATATAAATCTAGTTGTATAAATTGTATAAATACTTGCAATTTATTCTATGTTATGAAAAGATAATAAATCAGCAAAATAATTATTTTATCACATTAAAAATTCTATTTTTTTTAGTTCAATAAGCAATTATTCATTCTCAAAACTATCTAGAACTTTAAAAATATTGTTACAGTTCTATTTGATATATATATATATGCTACTGCTAAAGCTCGAAATCCGTTAATGTGTACATTACCTAGCTAATCTGCAGATTAACTAGGGTGATCCATTAAAGCTGCGAAAATTGTTCAATTTCTCAAATTACCTAGGTAATCTGCACATTAACGGCTTCCGTATCGTTAAAGTTCAAAAGTTTGTTTCTTTCACTTCCTTTCCCCACTCCTTCTTTTTACGTAGATAAATTTAAATCCTAGAATGCAAGCAAGCACCGAATTGGTGAGTAAAATCAAGAAAAGATTCTTCGCAAACCTCTTTAGCGAAGATTTAAAATATAATACGTAGTGTTTTAATAACAAACCAAAGTATGATTCCATAATTGAAGATGTAAAGCAAATAAAAGTTTCCAAGAAGAAAGAATCATCTCGAGATTATCAAATAATTCAAAGGTGTGATGTGTTGACTGTACGAGGCTGTGAAAAACTCATTGAGCCGTTGTCAGATGCGCGAGAAAGGTTTGAAAAAGTTTGTCCATGCCGGAGAATTGTTTGACATTCGATAAAAACTGAAGAAGACCTTGAAAAATTAGAAGATTCACAAGAGACTGTGATTATGAGATCACAGTCAAATCTTACTCAAGAGGACATTCCGTTATCCCCCGCTTCTACAGAATCACCTATAGAAATACAAGAATTTACCGATAGTAATCTTAAACTGCCTTCTATACCGTTGATTGATGATGCAGTCACGAAGAATATTCAGTTACCCTGCACCTCCAAGGAATCGCCTCTGCAAGTTGAAGAAGTCATCACTGAGTTACTCTCAACTTCAGCAGAATCGCCATCACAGTTTCGTACGGAGCCTGTAAAGAGCACTATACAAGACATAGTCTGTATTGTTTGCTCAAAAGCAGCATCAAGTGCTCACAAGTGTAAATCGTGTAATATGTTTGTTCACGCAGTTTGTGGTGAAGTAGATCC